CTAGAACTAGAAGTAAATATATCCCTAATATAGACGTGTATAGATAATATATCCCTAGAACTAGAAGTAAATATATCCCTAATATAGATGTGTATGGATAATATACCTCTCGAACTAGAAGTAAATATATCCCTAGAACTCCATGAAGGCAGAGATTTTGGTTTACCTTAAACTGTGTCCTGTATTTACTTAGTACATATTTCTGGTTGATCAAATACTAAGTGAAGAAAAAGGTGTTAAGAAAGTCTTTCCAAAAATGTTTTCTAAAATTAGGTGAAGGACTACTTTTTGTTTTTGTTTTTAATATTTTATTTCTAGTTCATTGTAGGCGTTATGCCGTGGGCTATGTGCTGCAAGATGTGCAGTTAGATCCACCAGTGGCTCTCGGCCATTTACTCATAGCGACTCTACCGGACAAATTAAAATGGCCACATAGGGTCTCAAGGGCTATAGATCTTTATAGAAACAGACTGATGCATCCCATAGACCATCTGGTAGCTTCCAACAGGTGATCGTTAGGGTAGTAACTGAGCTCTTTAACCACAGAACCACCAGAGCTCCTTGCAAATTGCTAGACAAAAATAAAAATAAAAAACTTCACTGCCATCAAGTTAATGTTGACTCCTTGTGACCCTATGGGACAATGTAGAACTGCTCCTGTGAGTTTCTGAGACTGTAACACTGTATGGGAGTAGAAAGCCCCATCTTTATCCTCTGGAGACTGATGGTTTTGAACAGCTGACCTTGCAGTTAGCAGCCCAACACGTAACCCCTACACCACTCAGGATCCTATGGAGGTTTCTAAATGCTCTCAATTTCTCTATTTATAGTCTCAAGGGCCAGGAAGCGTTTGTGAGCTGTCATCATCTATAGATTACATTTTGAGCCACCTCTTTTAGTGAATATTTGAAACCTCACTTTCTAATTATCTTACAAAAATATAATACCCGTAGTTAAATATATTTGGAAAATGTACACATCTCTGTCTGGGAGCTGCTGATGTGCCTTCTGATTCTCAGAAAGCAGGGTAGATTTTGTCTTATTCCCTAGGAAATTCTGTTTTATAAACTATCTTGAGGGACTGGCATTCTTAAAACATACTTTAAGAACTAGTAATCTCAATTACTCATCTTAAAGATGATAATACACAGGTGTGAACTCTACTATATAATTAGTTACCACCCTGCACTCAGAGGGCTTCTTTTCACAGGAGTGGGATATTTGACTAAAAGTGAAATGGGAACCATATTTTCTTATGACTTTGTCTTTCTAGGGAAGCCAGCTCCCCTCAGTTACGGCTTTCTGTGAAAACCATCCAGGAAAGGGGTCATTTACTCTGCTTCAAAAAGTACTAGACATCACAAAACTTGAAAGCAATCAGCAAAGCAGGGAATAAGTAAATTAAGTGTCAGTAATAAGATAAACTAATTTGGGAGGGGACTCAGAACCCAGAGACTTGATACAAGTCCCAGTTTCTCAATTATGCCGACTCATTAACTATTATATTCCTTGAATCACAACACATCTCTCAATGTGGCTCAGTTATTTGTTTAGTAATTAAATAGAAGCTTAATTAAAATGCAAACATAGAATAATCTGAACTCTATTGAAAGAAAATGGCCCAGTGATGTTTGCATGATGGGCTCATAGGCAATCATCTCTTTCTTTAAGACTTCACATACATCCTATACTTGGATAGGGGACAAAGAGAGGTAGAAGCACGTTTGTCTGTTTTCATCTTCTTGAATTTCCTTTTTCCCGATCGTAATTTGCACGCGGACCTTAGTGGTTGTGGTGCATTATGGTTTATTTGGGGTTTTGCAGGTATTCATCACGAATGGGTGGCTGAGTGATCTTGTGATAGTAGTCGCAGTCACAAATCGTGAAGCTCGTTCTCCCGCCCATGGCATTAGCCTTTTTCTGGTGGAAAATGGGATGAAAGGATTTGTCAAGGGACGAAAGCTACATAAAATGGGATTAAAAGCGCAGGTAAGTCACAATCAATCATACTCAGGTAATGAGTTTATTATGAATCTGATTAATACCTTACATAGAGAATCTACAATCAGCCTTTCTTCACTAAGTTCCTGCAATATACTTTCCAGAGATGTATGACACTATTTTTACCATGGTGACTGATGGTCAGCTAGAAAGTGACCCAGGGCATTGAATTGGTGGAATCGTCTGTGTGGTAATCAGTCCTCTCTTGAGTAAAATTGTGTGAACAGAAAATATTTTTTCCAAGGTGGGAGGAAAGGGGCATTTATAGAGGTCTAGATAAAGACATGTACATATGCAAATATATTTATATGAGGATGGGGAAATAGATCTATGAGCCTATATTTATAGGTTTAGTA